AAACTTCCAGTGTTGGAGCATTCACCACTTCTGGAGGCAGGTTGTTCCATTGGTTAATTGTTCTAACTGTCAGGAAGTTTCTCCTTAGTTCTAAGTTGCTTCTCTCCTTGATCAGTTTCCACCCGTTGCTTCTCGTCCTGCCTTCAGGCGCCTTGGAGAATAGCTTGACTCCCTCTTCTTTGTGGCAGCCCCTGAGATACTGGAAGACTGCTATCATGTCCCCCCTCATCCTTCTGTTCGTTAAACTAGACATACCCAATTCCAGCAACCGTTCCTTATATGTTTTAGCCTCCAGTCCCCTAATCATCTTTGTTGCTCTTCTCTGTACTCTTTCTAGAGTCTCAGCATCTTTTTTACATCGTGGTGACCAAAACTGGATGCAGGATTCCAAGTGTGGCCTTACCAAGGCATTGTAAAGTGGTATTAATACTTCACGTGATCTTGATTCTATCCCTCTGTTAATGCAGCCCAGCACTGTGTTGGCTTTTTTGGCAGCTGCAGCACACTGCTGGCTCATATAAATACAGTTCTTTTCCTACAGCTAAAATGCTCATTTCAACACGTGTATTTTCAAAATAACATTAAGTGGGATTACAGCTGCACTCCGGTAAAACTGCCTTTTGCAATTGACCGATAGGGATGGTGTCAATTCCACTGGCGTTCAGATGTTTGCATCCAAGGCGCCTATTATTATTGGTACCACCTTTGCTTTCTTTTGCCACCATTGGTCTATTTCTGTTTCTTTCCATTTTGTTATTTTTCTCCAGTTCTTTCTCTTTTTAACCTGCTGTCTCTAGCAGTGTCCACTATCCACTTTCCACTTTCTTGTCAACAACTGTGAAAGCTGGGCTGTTGCATTCTTATGATTACCCTGTCAAGTTTCTTTTTTGCACCGTTAATGCTCTAAAAATTTCGCTTTACGACAATGTATTTTAAATACGTTATTTTAGTGTTGTTCAACTATTGGGACACTTGTTTCTCCAAAGACTAGAACTGGAAGCTAGGGCTGTCGTTGTTTTTTTTAAACCCGGGCATCTCTTAGGCAGAAGATCGTATCCATACGTACCTTGAAGAAGATAAAGGAAAAGGAGCCACAGAAAGATAACTTTGGAGGTCACTTGTAGCCACCAGTTGAAGAAAAAGGGAAAGAAAACGACTCTGACAATTCCCTTTCGGGTCAAGGACGTCCACGGACTTTCTGGCTTCGCTTTTGCAAAGGCCGATCCTAAACAGAAGCAAAATCAAGGACTTGATTATGCAGAAACCTATATTTTATATAAAAAAATATTATATAGCTTTTTATAAATAATATAAATATAAATATAAATATAAATATAAATATAAATATAAATATAAATAATATAAATATAAATATAAATATAAATATAAATATAAATATAAATATAAATAATATAAATATAAATATAAATATAAATATAAATATAAATATAAATATAAATATAAATATAAATATAAATATAAATATAAATATAAATATAAATATAAATATAAAAATAGTAATAATAAAGTTGGAAGGGACTTTGTGGACCACGGGTAATCCCTGACTGTTCATTTAGTGTCCGTTCGAAGTTACGACGGCACTGAAAAAAGTGACTGATGATTCCCTCTTCTTTGTGGCAGCCCCTCAAATGCTAGAAGACTACTATCATCATCATCATCATCAAGTTGGAAGGGACCTTGGAGGTCATCTAGTCCAACCCCCTGCTCAGGCAGGAAACCCTATACCATTTCGGACAAATGGCTGTCCAGTCTCTTCTTAAAAACTTCCAGTGTTGGAGCATTCACCGCTTCTGGAGGCAGGTTGTTCCACTGGTTAATTGTTCTGACTGTCAGGAAGTTTCTCCTTAGTTCTAGGTTGCTTCTCTCCTCGATTAGTTTCCATCCGTTGCTTCTTGTCCTGCCTTCAGGCGCTTTGGAGAATAGCTTGACTCCCTCTTCTTTGTGGCAGCCCCTGAGATATTGGAAGACTGCTATCATGTCCCCCCTCATCCTTCTTTTCTCTAGACTGGCCATACCCAATTCCTGCAACTGTTCTTCATATGTTTTAGTCTCCAGGCACTTTAATCATGCTCGTCTTTGCACTTTTTCCCCAAAGTCTCAACATCTTTTTTTGTAACGTGCTGACCCCTTAGTTCAACTGAATTCTTGTATCTGGGTTTCAGAAGTAAATCTTTCTGAATTGCAACTTAATCTATGGTCCTGACCCTTTGCACCTAGCAAAATCCCTCCCCATAGGGAGTGTCACACATGAAGAAAACCTGTATTAAAAATGATAAAACTGAGCTAAAACCTATTGAATAAAATTACATCTCCGTAAGTAGCATACTATCTTTTTATTTATTTTTATTCTTCTTCTTCTTTTTTTAAGTCTTATTTATTCCTTAAGAAAGGTAAAAGTATTGGCTTGGCTTACATGAGAAAAAAATAGACTTAAATATTTAAATGTAATTAACTTTTGAGAAAACCTTAACCGGTAAGAATGTTTTGAACATTGTGGGAAAAACAAATGTAAATAAGAACAGTAAACGGGATCTATGATGAGACAACCAGAATGACTAGTTAGAAAAGGAATATTATATTGATGTGATTATTATCTGTAGAAATACTAGAAAACTTTTATACTCGATCGTCATTCATGAAAACAACAAAAATTGTATTAACTTAAGGTTGGTAAAAGAGAACATTATGGGAAAAAGAGGAAATCAAGTAAAGTTATGGGGATTATAGATTATAAAAATCAACTGTTAGTGAACGTTTCTTAAATGTATATTAAGGTGATTGTGTTAAAAAATTAATAAAACATATTTTTAAAAAAATAGTTAACCAGCTAAGCCAGGGTTAGGCAACC